GTGCTGGGATTTAAGAGTCTCATTTAAAGAGATTTAATTCTTTTCAGGAGACAAGAAGACAGAGCTCCACTAAGAATTATCTTGGAGAAGACTTGCTAAACCAATTAGAGGGTCTAGAGGGGGAACCTAAACCACCCGGAGCAAGCAGCTTCGACCTGCCTCTGTACTGAAGGGAGGACTAGTCAGGAAGGGCAGCTCCGCCCTCCTGGAAACTGAGACAGAGCCCAAGTGTGGGCTCCAGGTGGGTTGTCCTGGTTGTGATCAGCCAAATCCAGGACATGATGACTCCTTGAGAGCTGTGAAACCCCAGTAAATGGTGCACAGGAAGTGTCTCAGCCACTGGAAACTTCTTAGCTTGCCCAGGGGGGCTGGGACTGTGAGGCTGGCACAGACACGTTCAGCAGTACCCAGTCCAAGGCATGAGCTGTCCTTACACTCAGCCCAGAAGGAGCTCCTCTAGGATGTGAGACCCTACACTTGAGACAGCAGCTGCCCTGTTCCACTTTCCTCCATTGTCTAAGTCATGGATGTTTATTTGGCCTCCATAGGAGACATTCGATCTCCTGTCTGGGTCATAGACTGCAAGGCACCTAAAGCTTGATTTGCCAGTGGGCTGCTTGAGCCTCTGCCTCACTCAAAAAGCAGCCAAACTGGTTAAAATTGCTTCTCCAACCTGAACAGGAGACACAGACATTTACCAGGGGGCCTGAAAGAGAAAGCCCAGACAATTCAGGCCATCAGCCTTTGTGGGGATCAGCCAAATGGTGCCCCCAGATCTTGCTTGTTAAACCTGTGCAGGTTGGATTCTAAGCAATCAGCAAATCTCTCATCAATTCCTGAAAGGCACTTTGAAAGGAGATTTGCAACAAAAACAGGAATGGCAGGATGACTGAAAGCTGGCCCAGTGCTCGTCCCTCACCTGTTTCAGCTGCAGACGATCCTTGTGGGCTCTGGAGAAGGAGCTAGATTTCGAATTAGACAAATCTCACTGCTACAAACTCCTTTCACACAGCCACCTCGGCTCTAACCTTTTTCTTGGCTACATAATGAAAATGAAAACTTATATTCAACAAACAGTTCTAATACCTATGTGCCAGGGATCAGAGTTAGTGTTGGGGTAGGGCCTGTATCTGTGCTTAGCACAATCCCTGGCACACAGTAGGCTCCCAATAAGTAGCTGTTGAGTGAATGGGTTTCCACCTGACCTCATTCAGCACTATCTGGTAAGAGAGATGGTCATCAGAAAAAAACTCTACTCTACACTTCTTAAAGACTATAACAAATGAGAAGGAAGCCCTGGAGCTGGACAAGCAGCCAAGGCAAGACAGGAGGGAGGACAGGTTGTAGAGTGGCCTGAGGGCTTCCAGAGGAAAGTGGGGTTCACAAGTGCTCACACCTCCGAGGGTCAGAGAGTTTGATGTGTTGGTGATCCTGCTGGCTGCAGTCTCTATGGTTATTGAATTTTCGAAATCCCCTTGTTCTTTAAAAAGGGGTAGAGACTACCTATTTTGCAGGTTGAGTGTAGTAAGTAAAATGCCACAGGGAGATAGCACAGAGAGGGCTGGCACTCTGACCAACTGGAACTCACTGGACCAACACAAGCCCCAATTCAGGATGAGAACAGACAAGCAAAGAAGGAATAAGGCATAGTCGCAGTGGCACAGGAAGAGGTGTGGAGTGGATGAGAATGCCTGACTGCTCAATTGGGCTCCTGCATTGCTGGTGTATCACTCAGTCTCTCATAAGACACAGGACTGCAGATTTTGTGGGGTGTAGTAAGGACAACACACTGAAAGCCAACACATGGGAGGAGCACAAGAAGCAGTTCTTCCTAGTCATAACAGCAATAAAAATGACAAATAGGGTTTAAGAAAAGTAATCTTTTAAAGGACAAGCACTAGCTAACACGCTGGCTTATCTAGTTAAGCCCAGTGCCAAAGGGTCGAAACTCCATCTGGTATAAGAAAACACCATCCAGGCCCTCACAGCTCACCACTCCTTACATGGCTGACTGCCCTGGGCCACCTCCTCTGTGGAAGTCCCTCTGTCCCTATAGAGATGGGGTCTTTGTGTCCTCTCCAGGAAGTCTGAGGAATGCAGTTGTGGGGACCACCAAAGCCTGACCAGGAGGCTAGGGAGCACAAGGCCAGCACCCAGGGCTCTGACCCCCTCACTATCTCTCTGTCCCAGGCTCTTGTGACAGACAAATCCAGTCCTCCTCTTCTATAGAACAGATGGCAGGAAGGGCAGGGACATGGCAAAGTGCTGGCCACCCCTGGTGTTGGCACACTTGGAGGCACCACAGACCTGAGGTGAAAGGCCCTCAGATAGATACTGCACAGACAGGTGCCTACTGCAAAATCCCCAGTTTTCTTTAAGACATGTCTACCTGGTATTATGTGCTACACATGGGAATTTTTATAACTACAGATGGGTTTCAGAATAGGCTTAAAGTTTTTATAGTCTAAATATTTAGAAAATAAGAAATGCATTAGGAAATGATTAGCCCATTCAATCTTTGGTCTTCTCATCTGTGTGAATTCAGGGTTACAACATCAACGCCTGCTCCTCCCATGGCAGATGCCATTGCAGATGAGAGAGACAGACAGAGAGAGGATGGCCTTAGTGATAGCTCTCTTTGCCCAAATGCCCGATAGAGACAATCTCCCACACATTTCAAGCCAGCAGGTTTGTGGGGCAGGTGTATGTGGCACTTGGTGGACATCCAATAAATGTTGGTCACATGAATTGTTAAGCAAATGCAGAAAACAGGGAAGTCAACTTCTTAAAAAGAGTTAAGCCTTGAAGAAGAGACACACAAAGACATTTCCTGTACTTTTTGGTAACTATTTTCCAAGAAGGTGAAGGTTCAGTTGGCCAACAGGACCCCTGAGGAGGCAGTATACACTGATGGTCCAGGACCACAGGCCTGGAGGGTTCAAGGGTTGGCTTCACTACCGCTAACGTGAGCTTGAGTTGTGTTCTGTCAGCTGCAAGACAGGTTAACAAATGTATCCTGGCTGCTGAGCTGGGAAGACAGGGGACTTGGACCAGTACAGCACCCAGAAAGTGGTTACCAAGACATTGCAACGTTACCATGTGCCCAACACTGAAGAGCTAATAAGGGCAGTGCCACTCTGAGGGGCAGAGACAGACAGGGGTGGCAATTCCATCTGTCCCCATGCTTCTTGTTTTCATCTGTGCCCAGAACAGGAGCACCCGTGAGAATGAATCCCTCCCTTCAATGCTGCCTCTTTATGGGTGCTGCTGTGTAGAGCCCGGCTGAGCCAGACCCATCCAGGCCTGCCTTGGCCTGCCTAGGGCTCCCACATGAAGTGGAAGCTCTGTGGCCAGGGGAGCAGCCTCACAAGGCCACTTCCACAGTCAGTAGCCATGAAGCCTCTGCACCCTTCATCCTCAAGTGGCTCTGTGGCTCCAGCTGCACAGCAAGACACCAGGGGGTGAGGGCCTTGGCCTTGGGTTTTCCTTGTGAACACAGTGTGTGCTGTTTGTACAACCCTCTCCCATGACAACCATAACTCGGGTCAAGTGTTTTGTGGCAAAATCACCTGCACCAACCCCTGGCTCCACAGCTGACTGTTGGCCCACAGCTGAATCGGTTCACTTTGTGGAGGTTTGGTGGCCTCATGGAAACTGCAGTGTCAGTCAGATGTCAGAAAAAAAATGAGAGCATGCCTGGAGCATGGGTGGAGCATGGATGGCTGCCTCACTGCTGTGCTGCCCATTCTGCCCCTTCAGTCAGCAAGACTGGATGGCACCACAACTCTGCTGAGAAGGACCAACCTGTCGTCCCTGCCTTCTGCTTCCCCTGTACTGAAGATAAACAGCTGTGACTCCATGGGACTACTTTGTTCACTGCTAGACCCATATACTTTATAGGTTCACAGAACCTTCTAGCAACATGCAAAGTGCTTATTTTGTCAGTAACTCACTATAGACCATCTACCTGGTCTAATTCACTTCAGCTTGAAGGAAGGAATTTGCCTCAGGTCCCAGCTATGCCACGAGTACATAGAGGATACTTCCAGAATCCAGAGAAGCTGTCTGGAATTGTCTGGTCCAGACAATGCTGTCTGACCATCCTTACAGCCACAGAACCCATGCTGATGGAAACAAATAGCAGAAGTCATATCAGAGGTATCTCTTCCTGATCGACACTCTGAACAAGCCTCACCCTTAAACCCAGGACCTTTGGGGCAGTTTCTACACTTGGCCTTTTGATAAACTTTTGTCCACCACACACAACCCACTCAAATGCTCCCCTCTCTGTGAAGCCTTCCTTGGTTACCTCCATCCAGCGGCTACATCCCCTGCACCTCCAGCACAGGGCATAGCGCTCTATGTTCACGCTCCCTCCACTTCTGACCAGGCAGCACACCTGCAAAGGGACCTGGTCTTTGCAGGTCAGCCTGTTTAGTGCCTCACAAAATACCTGACCTACTTTGTGGGTGCTCTATAAAGACTTGGAACAAGCAGCAAACAAGTGAGCCTGGGGTCTCTCCAGAGCACCCACTCATTTACCTGAATGCCTACTATAAACCAGACAAGAGTCCAAGTTCAGAGCAGGCTCAGTTGCTTTAGGAATGCCTCTTATAGACTCCTAAAAGTCTCTCACTGCTTTCACACGGCATCTTTACGCCTCATTAAACAGCACAATCCGATTTTAGTTCCCAGACAATTGCATCCATGTTAGCAGCTGTCAGTCTTTGCACCTCCTCAGTCCAGCATTGATAGTTGGCCATTAGGACTGTCACTAACATGAATATCAACTCTGGCAAGAAACATATGTCCCAAAATCAATGCCACCACCAGCCTCAAGAAGACATTCCTCTATATAGAATAAGTACATCTTCGAAGTGGGGCCCCTAAAATGGGCAACCACCCATTTGGAGCTCTCCGTGGCTAAAATTCTACACTAAAGCCCTGTCGGCCCCCAGCAGGTAGTGGCCAGTACAGACTGGGCCATGTTGAAAGGATATGATTCTCCATCTGATGTCCAGTTTGCTGTTGATCTCCAGGCCATGGGCTTCCTGCTTCTCCTCCTCAAGCTGCTTTGGATTTGCAAATTGCCCCTTCTCTCCAGGGCATTCTGGAACACTCTCAAAGTTGAACTTGTCCACTTGAATAGCCATTCTAAGAGAAGAAAAAAAAAACAGCAGAGAATTAATCAGTGGAGCAATTTCTTCTGCTAGCTGTTGGAGAGTCAGCACATGCCAGCATGAGGTGGAATAATGAATCATTATCTTTAGTAATTCATAACGGATTCATTCCAAGAAGATGAAATAATAGACTCCCGAGTGGCCCTGACTGCAGGGCTGGTGCAACACACAGTTAGGAAGTAGAGACACAGTCGCAGATGTGGAACTCTGACGCCTGTGTCGCCCAGACGAGGATTTCCATTCTGTGACAGATTAGGCAGGCAGGACCTAGCATGCTGCCCAGGTAGGGGGCTTGGTCACGACTCCAATTCCCTCCTGGAAAATCATAGAAAATACTGGCAATTACTTAACCTCAGGCACCACAAAGGCCCAACAAGAACTCTCCTTCCATCCCCTGAGCTCCTTCAGCCATCTCCCCATCATATACTTCCTCCTCTAACCAGATGGACTCTCCAGTCTGCCCTCATGTCCCTGGCTGCCACAGTCTCCACTCCCTACTGTAGCTTTCTGGGCCCCAGGCCCTGCAGGCCCTCCTCTTTGGGCCTCTGCTTAAGCCTACCTCCTCCACACAGCCCCCTTGTTGCTTGTTCAGCCCTCTTGTCCTGATGGTTTCTAGAGCACAGCAGCAGCCTCTCCCTGCCTTACCCTTTGCCCCTGAAATGCTCTCCTGTGCCACGGCTCAGCTGGGCCCTTCCTGTCCTTGAGGCTGGAGCAGGACAGGAACCTCTCCCAGGCCAGCTGGATTTGCAGTTTCTCTCAGACCTTGCCTTATTCTCTACTGCACCATTCCATTCATTTCTGCAGAGCACTTATGTGCATTTAAAGATTTAGCTCTGGATTTGTTCATCGTCTCTCGATTCTACTGGAATTTAGTTCCCTGAGGGCAGAGATCCACTTTGTCTCAGTCACCATTCTCCCCAGGTCTAAAATAATGCTGAGCATAAAGCAGTGAGTTAGTAAGCAATCAGCTGAATAAATGAAGTACAATAAAAGCCTTCCCTGATACAAGAAGTCACCGTTTCTTCCTCTTTGCTACTCTCCTGGGCCCCTGTACATGTCCCCACTTCCCAGCCCAGGACCTGGCCTGTGGAAGGAGGCAGCCATGTTTCAGTGCTCTCCAGTGGCCTGTCCCCACTGGGCCATCATAGTCACACAGACAGGGTCTGGCTTCCTGATGCTGGGCATCCCTCCTCTTGTCAGGCACTCAGTTGACACTCAATTTAGGAGCATTACATGGATAGATGAAGGGGGAGTGGGTACAAGAGGGTTTTTTCCTAAGAGGACCACTAAGCTCTGGCTCCAATGGAATGACAACTAAAAATTAGTCAATGGGTAAAAGTAGGTGTTTTGCATTCTTGCTAGACTGTGCTGTAGCCAAGATCCTCAGCAAAACCTTGCTCTAATGGCCTTTGTGGCTATCCCAAGAGGAATTGTATCCAAGGCATACAGACACAAGATTATACCCAAAGACACAGTCTCGGGAGGTATGATAGCTGCAAGAGTGGCTGCAAGGTCAATAAACCTGTAACACTTGGCCCGGAGCACGATGTCGGGGCTGGCTGCCTGAGCACAGGCACTGCTGTTGTGTACACAGCACTTCTGCTGCAAGAAAACGTCTTAAAGTTACATTTACACTTTTCTTTCTATTCATTTAATAGACAGTTATCACAAAAAGTTAGAAAACAGAGAAAAGCATAAAAAGGAAGCTAATACTCTAATAAATAAGAACTCAGAATCTAACACTCTAACATTAATATCTTAATTCCATAGTCTTTCCATGTAGTATGTGTATCTCAATATGGTTGAAATCATTGTATATATCAGTATATAAATCATATGTACACACATAAATATATACGTACACATAAGTCTTCCTTTATTTACTTAATATACAGTACTAGGAACATTTTCACATCATCAAAAATTAGCATAAAAATGATACAATAATCTTACTTAACATTTCCCCTATTTTTTGGACTGTCAGATTTTTCCTAATTTTAAAAAAGTACTATTGTAAAAACATTCTGATGAATGTTGCCTGCACTGACGAGTGACTCTCAGGACCAACTTCTAGAAGTTCATGATTGATCCAGGAAGGAACCATTCCAGGCTCAGATCCAGAGCACCATGCTCTTGCTTGGACTGGCACAGAGGTCCATCCATTTCCCCACACAGTGCAGCGGGACCTCCCCCTCTCTCTGCAGCCTTGCCAACACTGGCAAGGATCAACTTTCAGTCTTTACAAGTAACAGGCTGCGCTTTTAATGTGCAAGTCTGACTACCCCTGAGGCCGAACGCTTTCAGAACCTTACAGACCACATGTCTTCTTCCCTCTGTAAGCCACTCCCATGTGAAGCAAGGGAACTTCTTATTCCCACCAAAGCTCCTTTTATTTCTCCACCCCAAAAGTAGATGGAAGCAAATTAGTGTTATCTTCAAACCAAAGGTCAGACATTTTTTAAGTGACACTAAAAAGGCCACTGCCTGACAACCCAAAAGGAAGTAATACCTTTCATCTTTCAACTGGGTTTGCAAACACCCCCAAGCACTGGCTCTCTTCCTATGGACATGTACGGGAAAGACACCCTGCAGGCAGCTGCCTTGAGTTGGAGCATCCCCTGACACTGCAGCCACTGTGTGACATTCAGTATCTGGGGTGCCTTTAAAGCCATTTCTGGTTATATAAGCATCTTACTATGTTATCCACCTCCAACCTTAGTAGAACTGTAGCCAAGCATGCCCACGGCGCTGATGAAGGGAGAGAATAAAATGTACAGAGCACTCGTTATGTGCCACACAGTGTGCTAGGGGTTGTGTACACACATTCATTCTATTAACATATAGCCATCAGGAATGGCTGTGATTTGTATCACATACCAGGGCAAGAGGACCCTGCTCTGGGACCTAAGCACCTAGCCAGTACCACAAAGCTGGGCACCAGCAGAGGCTGTACTTCTGTCTACACTCTTCTTGATTTGTTTCTCCTTTGCTTGGGCCCACTCCCAGTATGTCCCAGTTACAACAGGACTCCTCCTCCAGCAGCCCTGGATGGCAACCTGGGAAGCATCCCAAAGTCAACCCCTTTTCTTCAGTGACAAGAAACTGAGCCCTTGACCTAGGGCCACCAGCTTCAAATCCTGGAGCTAAGATTCCAGCTCAGATTGGTCAACTCCAAGAACAAGTAATGCCACCCCCCCATTTTGCCTACACAAAAAGTTAGCAGGCACCCCATCACAATAAATAAGTGGGGCAGTGGTGTATGCCTGTCATCCCAGCTAATCAGAAGGCTATAGGTAGGAGGATAACCATCTGAGGCCAGGCCTGGGAAAAACTACAAAACCTTTACCTGAAAAATACCTAAAATGAAAAAAGGACTGGAGGCGTGGCTCAAGGACCTGAGTTCAAACTTCTGAACTGCCAATGATAATAATAATTTGAAATCACATAGAAAAGGGGAGTGAGTGAGTGTACACATGGCCAACACCAAAGGCACACCTAGTTTCTTTGGGCCATGGGTATTGAGGTGACTCCTACAGAGTGGCAGTGTGAACCTTTGCCCAGGGGTATGTCCATCCCAAGAGAAGGTCAGGGATGCTGCACGATGGGTCATTTTTAATTGATTTCTCTCCACACAGACCCCCAAGGCAGTGGCTTTCCCCTTGAGCAGGGCTGCTGGTCTGCAGGCCAACATGGTCATGAGCCCAGAGCCCAGTACAGCAGGGAGCAGGGCCTGGGGCCTCATTTCCTATGGCTTTTGAACAAGAGAGGGGTGGGAAGGAGTTTAAGTGTGTGACAGGCTGTCAAACCAGGACCATCTCATACAGATAGGCCTCACAGGGTGGAGATAGCTGTGTGGATGGAGGAACAGAGATCTAGGGCCTCATAAATTGGACTACAGGCCATGCAATATAGTAGCCCTGACCAGAGGCAGCCAAACGAAAGTCCCTGGGCCTCAGACTCATCACCTGCAAAACGGACATCCCACAGGATCTGGGAGAATTCACTTGAATCACTTGGCACATAATTAGTGCTCAAAAAAAAATTACAGCTGTTACTTTTTGGGGTAATGAAAATGTTTTGATACAGACTGTGGTTGTACAACTCTGTGAATGTTCTAGAAATCACTGAGTTGGTGAACTTCAAATGCATGAATTGTATGGTATGTAAATCATATTTCAGTACTGCTATTATAAAACATTACGGCTATTACAGGAACTTACAGTAAAGATCAAATGTGATGCTTTTATGAAGACATTTAGTGAGACATAAAATGCCAAATAAGTGCTGGTGGGTCTCTGTATTATTTTCCCTCATTGTCTTGTGCTCATAACAACATTTCACCAAAGCCAGTGTCATGTGTCTGTCTCCCACTGTATCCTTGCTTCTGTTAGGCAAAGCCATCTTTCTCAACTTGGGTGCTGGTGTATTACCCCAGCACCACACAAGCAGGGCAGCCTGCATGCAGTAGCCACGACCCAACCACAGAACCTGGGCACAGAGCAACAGGCCAAAACCTTGGTGAGCATGGAATCTTCCTTGCGCTGTTCCACATGTGCTCTGGCTGTAAGAGTGGGTTTCTGGGGTTTCCCCATCTCTGCTCACTGACAGTGTTGGCGTTCGTAATGAGATTGAAATGCCTACTAGGCTCTGCAGGTTTTCTATTTGAAAGTCTGAAGGACTGGGTCCTGCCTTGGTCTACTTCTAATTCACTGTGCCTTGGGCAGGTCACCAGACCCCTATGCAGGAAGGACCTACTTCCTTCAAAGTTGTCTCTAAATAAGGCCCAGGCCAGGGCATACAGCTAATGCACAGCAGGGCTGCCTCTCCTGCTTCCTGAGTCATCACAGAAAATCCACTGTTCTGAAGTTCCTCATCCTTGTGTGACCAAGTAGGCCTGAGTGCTTCCACATTTTCTCAAAGAGGCTGGCTGAGCTCACAGGATGTTGAGAAGGCCTCTATGGTAGCCAGAGCCTA